TTTAACTTCAAGGGAGGGGATGCATACAGCTTCAAATACTGCATTAGCCAGCCATCATTTTTATTTTCTAAGAATGTGCTACCCCATCCATGAGAACAGGTGGCATACAAAAAGTTGGAAGTAAATAAATAGTGTTGAGATGCTAAATTCTGCATGATGTTACAAGCTGGTAACTTCTTTTAAGGATCTTTATTTCTGTGAACACTAAGCAGGGCAGAATGTCGGGTGTATGCCAAGAAAAGCAACAGAAGCATATTATTCTTCAGTGGCACTATGTAAGACATAACAAAAATATAGAGAGAAGCACAAGATGAAGCAAGTACTGTTGAGTACCATTGCTATGTTGGAAAAGTATTTCAATAAGTAGGGAGCATAAATGGTGTATTTGATATGGGCTTTTCACCTACGGATGCCTACTGTATATTTTTTTTTTAAGTAAGTTTTTCCAGAAATACCAGGTTAGTGTGTGCATCATTAAAAACTCAAAAACTGTTTGTCACATATAAAGAGACTATTCTATAAAGCTTTTGATAGACTCAAAGCTTTTGTCACAAAGGGCTTAAAACAGTTTTTGATTAAGAGGAGTAATAGCAGAACAGACATCTGCAATACCTGTTATATACCAATACCAATAGAACCACAAACTACAACTTGAGAATACCAATTTATTTATACATTCATAATGTAAATTACAATTTTTGAGAATAATGAATTAATGCAAAAAAGAAGAAATTTAAACTTGGTATTGGAAAGCACACAGAGACTGGAATTCTCTAGGTTTTACTGTTGTAATTTCCAAGATACTAAGAAGCTGAAAGTGCTTCATTTTAAGCAGAAATTAATAGTAATCCATAATGATGCACTGCTGGTCACTTGTCACCACTGTATGGAAATATATATCTTGGGTATTTAATTGAGTGTCCTTTAGGAACAACTTGTTTAATTTGATGTTTATAATTTTTGAAGGATTTGAATGTTTCTGCATTGACAGGAACATTCCAGCAAATACGTGAGTAGGCAAATTAAGAGATTTTAGTGAGAATGATTCAAAATAACTTGACTCAAAATATATGTTAAAGGATATTTCCTCACCCACATCTTCAGTGCAGAAAAATGTCAGCATCTGTGAGAAAAATTATAATGTGTGATAGATGTCTTAAGAGACTGGGAATCTGCTATTAGTCAAATTAGCCACAGAAAATTATTTTCTAATTGTACTCAAAGCAAAGGCTTCTAAAAGAAATGTTCACCCTGGAAATCTACAACAGCATGAAATTAGCCAAGTAGTAGTATGAACTTGTAACTCACTCACAGAGCTCTCATTTTTACAAACCCAGTGTATCTCCATAAATAAATAAAGCTCCTGTGAAGAAAGTGGAATGGATAAAAGAGTGGCTTGTAATACTGAATTCTGACATGCATGTTAATAGAATCTTGACAAGTATATCTGATTTCTATAAGTACAGTTTACAGTGATTACTTTTGAATTGCAATATGCTGAACTTCAATATTTGTGGAGATTTACTTGTTAGTTCTGCTAAACTACTCCTTCGAGTCTTTACTTGAACTATTTATTCTAATTAAAGATTTATTTGACGAGAATTATCACATGATCATAGTAAAACTCAATAAATTAAATTTTGTTCACACAAAACTTAGCAAAAAGAACAAAGAAAGAAAAGTATAGTGTGTGCTTCCTTAAGAACATTTTGTACGCTTTTTCTTAACATGGGGAAGTAGGGAGAGAAGAGAGACCAAAAACAAAGCTAAAAACAAACATTTTAAATAATTATGCTTATAATATTGATAATGATATATATTACTATTTAAATTAACACATTTATCAATACCCAAAGCATGTACTTCTAGTATATTTAAGCCATAGTTTCTACTTTCCATAATATACATTAATTTAAAAGGGCAGGGAACTAACTCTATAATTCTTCATGGCATGCTCCAAAATAAACACGCCCTTGTAGCCTCACGCATATTTGTAGCAATGCCTTTGGACCCTTAAGGACTTCAAAGATGTAAAGAAAATCCTTGGGAACTAATTCACCTTCTTATAGTCCATTCCCACAATGCAACTATTCTGAGAACAGTCAAGTAACCTAAGGTAGCTAATCAATAAACATGTCCATGTATTATTAAATTCCAAATGTGATCCCAGGTAAATATGGTAGCCTATCTATGGAGTTGTATAGACAAGATACATGTGGCTCAGCATCAGTCAGTCCTATGTTTGGTGCTGAGAAGAAGCTCAAATGCACTGTCTCTCTTCACATCTTTTTTGATGGTCTTCTTTATTTTTCTAAGATATTATTTAAAATCCCTGGCTCAAAGTTGTTATTAGAAATGTTGACCATATGGAAGAATTGAATGGAGTGTGCCTCTGTTTGTATATCCCTCTTTATGAGTAAACCATTGCGAAAAACCTTTCAATTTGCCAGACCAGAATTTTCTCCCAAAGAATTACCTTTTTCCTTATAAGTGAATCAGTAAAGGTGAATTCAATTGTTCTCCAGAAGCAAGTTGTTAATTCACACAACTTGAAACTCCCTTAATTTTTTTAAACTGTTCAACATAATGTTTCCTTTCTTCTAGTCCATCCTCATTTCAGTTCTAGAACTATCAAACCCTTTATGATTATTGTAACTAACTCCCCCTGAATGTGCCTGTTAGAGTACAACATCTGCCTATTGTGCCTATTCTACAAGTTGACAATTTTGAGTTCACCCTTCTGAAACAGCTACTTAATATCTCAAACTTAAGTGTGATCATTTATAGTTTTTAATATAATTTGAAACAAACATTCAGGGGCCCTTTTAATGTTTTGCTTCCTATCTTTAACGTCATTGCCAGAGAATATTATTTCGAATGAGTCTTTTCTTGGCTAGTCTTGGATGATGGTAATCTGATTACATTTGAATCTGGATCTAAAATCTCAGATTCTATAGAAACGTTTTATGCAATATACAAGTTTAAATTGCCACTAACAGTTTTCTAAAGTAGAAATAGAAGTAACAATTTTCCAAATTACTAAACCTGTCATTTTTATACCACATTGTGTGAAATGATTGCTTGTACGAACAGCGGCCTATAAAAATGAGACTTCAAGTAGTCAGAAGTACTTTTTATGTAATGAATACCTGTGCTTTACTATTCTGAATAAATTACTCAAGATACATGTCTGAAGAGTATAGTTAGTCAATTGATAGTGGTAATATCACTCTCTGTTTGTGAGTTTCTCCAGAGGCATAGAGCTGCATACAGCTGAAAGCAAAGTATTATACTATGTAAGTCATATATGATCTAGCAGTAGTATTATTTGAAGAGTTGGATCTCAATAATAACTTAATTAGAATGCATGTGGTAGCAAGATATTTTTAAACAGGTCTAAGTGGTGGTTTTTCATTTTCTAGAGATTCATACAAAGTCAGTCTATTGGAGATTTTTTTAGGCTTTAAACTCTAGATAAGTAAATGGATCTTGACACCTAGGCTATAAACATTAAAAGCATCAACAGTTCTCAAATTTTGCCCTAGCTTCCCCACAATTCAATATTATAAAATAAAGATACCATGGCAACCAAGAATAATTTAAAAACATATTCATAAATGAGCTTGATATGCAAACAGAAACTCCAAGCTCATAATATTAGGTTTTGATGTGGTTATCGGAGCTGAATACATTTCCTATTCCTAACATAAACCAAACGTTGCAGTTACTGCAATATATCAAAAGAGTTAAAAGTATAAGAAAATCAAGGTTACTTGAGAGAACTGTGAAATGAAAAGCACATACTCAGATATACTTATGCAAGAAGTGTTTGCAGGGCACAACCACAGCAAATTTCATTTTCACACATTTGATAAATCTTGCTGCTCATTTTTTTAATCCTCTCTATTGATTCTACATGCTGCAAAACTGCTTTCTTTTTCAGATCAAGAACAATTAAAATATTCTAGTTAAAGTGAATAACTCATGGGTGATTCCTCTGGAATTTCAGTATTCAAATTGGCACTAATTGAAGTTGTTCAGATACCCAAATTATTTTCAGTGACTTAGAACATTTCTATTTCAGGACTTTTCTGCATAAAATGACAGCAAGATTCCAGGCATTTTCTAGCCAAACCTCAAAAAGAGCCTGGTAATTCAGTTTGTGTTAAAATAGTCCTTATTAAAAACTACCTTGTCTTAAGTGTATGTTTGTGTTTGTGTATGGAAAAAAACGCAAAAAAGAAGAGACCGAAAGGCACGTTTGCAAAATCAATTGTGCAGTTTTTATTTTACTGCACTTTTATCACATATGTCATTTATTACACAGTGGAAAACCGTTAAATGCACAGTAGTTGTGCCAAGTGGCATTATGCTTTTAACAGCTTTATTCGTTTAACAGTTCCAGCTCTCATTATATTTTGCCATGTGGTACGTGAGATTTTTATTCTTTTAACTGTGTATGAAAGGGGTCCATGGCATTTTCCTTTTATGTATTTCATATTGCACTCATATTTTTTTTTCTTTTCTGTGAATATTAAGCCTTAGGCAAAACTAAAAACAAGGGGTGTATCAGGAAACAAGAAGTGTTAGAAGAAAAAGGAGATAAGAAAGGCTCGGATCCATTTTATAATCAAAGCAATACTGTTAATGTGTAGGGTTACAATATTTCTGTTAAGATTAGTATGTGACTATTTTCACTTTGTATGTTTTATTATTGTTCCATTTTGTCTTTTTACTGAATGGGAAAAAACACTCAAAACAAAGAAATAGTGATTATAACTCTTTAACATAAAAAAACACTATCATTCAGAAGTCCTTATTTTATAGTTTTGGATTTTTTTTAATTTTTTTAGTCTATTTAAATCCACAGAAAAGAATTATTCTGGAGCAAAAGCACAAATAAGAAAAGATTGTATAGGTGTATTTTTATCTGTAGAAGGGATGTGTCCAATTTCATCCTCAAAAGTATTCCTGCCCTTAAAAGATAATCCCCTACTCACCTGACTTTTGTTGGCAGCTACTTTGGCGAACAAAGCCTGAGACACCTTGGCCCTTTTCATCTCCTGTTGGATCTCGTCATAAATGGCAGCTGTGATGTTGATGTTGGCTCCGTCCACCTTAATGGGGAGGTCTGTTGTCGGTGTTGAGGTTTTGGCCTACCAAGAGACCATGAAAATAATAATTAAAATAGTGCTGCTTTCAGCCCAGCCATCTGTGCAGAAATTATCAAAGGATTTCAGTCAGCTGATGCCAAACTGCATTAGCTACAGAGGGACACTTCCTGTCCATTATTCTAATCAGGTTAATTGTGATTGGAAATAATTGCAGGGCATTCCTATAGGACATACAAAGCATGTGTATGCACTCTCACTCTCTTTTTCTACAAACATACACAGGGTATTCTTCAATTGCTCTGACTTTCAGCACACACAAAAACATATACTAGGAAATTAAAAGGTTATGTAGTGGATGAAGTAATGTTTAAACAATTATTTTATTCAGCTTGTCCTCAAATACAACATATTATGTATATGAATATTTCAATGTTTGCTCCCTCCCCCTCCTCCCCAAAAAATCATACCTTGGAGGAAGAGCCAATTCTTCCAGGAAAAATGAGTAAATGCATAGAGGTCTCTAAATAATAAATTATTACTCAATTTAATGTACTCCCACAAGTATCTTTCATCCTTTATTAAAATTATACGTATGTCATTTGAGTATGTATGGTCTCCCATCATTATGCTGGCTAGACAGTCACCTAATTTCACCTAGGAAATCAGTGGGTATGAAAAAAAAGATTAATAACTCTATGCCTGCCTGTGTGCTTGATATGCTGCCATTGACTTCATAAACCCACATTGCAGCTGGGTACATTCCATTACACTCCTTTTAAATAAATGATTTCCTATCAATTTCTGTGACAATTGAAGGACACTAATGAGATAATATTTCCTTCACAGATAAATCTACTAAAAGAACTGAGATGGAATTTTGCTGCACAAAAATCTAGAAATCTACTACACATTACAATGGCTACTAATTTCACTAAAGTCAAATCAGTTATTGCAAGAACTAATAAATCATGCTGAACAACCGTTTCAATCAAGCAATAGTTTAAAGAAACATGTAGAATACACAGTAATAAACAAGGATTCTACTTAAGCTAGGCTAGAAGACCTCCAAGATCCCTTCCAGCTCTGTTAAGCAAGGTTTTAGGAAATACATGTTAAAGCAAAAAGTATAGTTAGAAAAGGATGAAAAAGATTGGAAGAAATAATAGCACTTCCTCCATGCTGTTTCATTAGAACAGCTTACAAACTAAGATTTTATATTGATTGAAAGTTTAACAGGGTCATCTTTAACAAAAAAGAGATGTCTTAATAAGGTATTATTAAAAGGAAGTGTGGGATTTTGTCTTGTATTTGAGAACCAGGTTTATGGCTCATTTGTTCTGTATTTGATAAACACAGATTTAAAACTTGCTATAATATAAATGTCTCAGGTATATATTTTTTTTTAAAAGGATTAGAACCATTTTGGAATATGTTTGCCTGTATTCTGTGGTCAATTTGGAGAAGCCTGCTCTGAATTATTCCATCATGATTTGTGGCCTGAAGAAGCAGAATATTCTTTATTATGGCATTGAAATTATAAAATTAAAGGGAAGTTTGCCTGGTTCCAGTTTCATTAGCTTGTCATCATGCAATATAAAAAAAAATATTTTCTGATTATAAATTGCATTAACGGGGCTTGAAAATTCACTTTTTTCTAGTGTGTTAACAAGGTTGTTTACAGTTGCTGCTTTGTAATTTTATAATTATTACATTTATTTTTTCAAATAGACAAAATGGAGCAAACACGAAAGAATGGAGTACATAAATATACTTTGCTAAAATCTGTTTTTTTTAAATATCCCTTAACTTTTACCAAAGAACAAATTAAACAGCAGAAGCCCACATTTAAATATTGTCATATTCATCTCAAAACATTTGGACTCTTTTTTTTTCCTGATCAGTTTGGCATTGATTACCTACTACCAAATACACATTCCAAAACAGAACTTGATCAGCTTGAAAGCTACAAATGGAGAATTACAATTTTTAAAAAGCAATGTAATAGGGAAGAAAATGGACATTTACTATATTTCTTGATACTCTGAGATTATCTACTATACTGCAAAATTGTATCACAGATTGGTATCTATGGAAACAGTATTTTTTATATAGGATTAACTTTGGCACCAGGAAAAAAAAAATGTCTTTCGTTTCAAATATGTTTTCTCCTGTCTGCCTATCTTGGCTATTTCTTAAAGCATTCTTCTAGCATTAAATTATTCTTCTCAGTACTATGATTTAAGCAAAAAAAACAACCCCCATCATATATGCATTGTAAAAAAAAAGTTAATATATGGAAATTTTCCCTGCTTCCGCAAGAAGAGGTAGCTTATACCATTGCTGATTTTGTTTTTTTCTAAAAGAAATCTATTCGTTCTCTAGGTAATTTCCTCACTTCTCTAATTTGGATATGATTCACAGCCAGTGTCCAAATGAACTGGCATAAATCTTATAGTTATCTTTTTGGATTCTTACCAGGGTGACCAAATGAGTTTTCATTTACAGGCATCTTATGTTTTCCACAGGGAGGCCAACCAAATATCAAATATTACAAGGCTCCCAGAGTTATTGTTAGCTGCCCAGAGGCCCTTATAAATTCTTTCAATCAATCAACATTTGTTATCTTTCCAACACAAAGAAAAGCCCCTTTTAAGTTATATTTTACCTTTGCTGTTCATTTTGTCCCTCTTCTATTTTTAGTAATGTTATACTTTTCTCTGTTAAATATTGTAACTTTTAGCTATATCCTGCTCTAGAAATTATTAGCCTAAGGCTCAGGCATAAAAAAGAGGAGATCAATCATCATCTCCATCATAATCTATAGTAACGGTTTCTGATTATAATCAAATGTTCTTAAAGACAGAAAAGAAACAAAGAACACCGATACCTGGAGAATAAGTGCATGGAGTGAAGCAAAACAGACATAAATGCCAACTTTTCACATATTGCATATATTCAGTTCCACCAAAGGAGTTAGATGTATACATCCAGCCTTCCCTGTTTTGGCAACCTCCCAAATTCTAAATAAACATATAGTCATCTCTAGCAACATCACCAAAAATTAGTATAAGAATGTCCTCAATAAAATGAGAGTGAGAGTTTTGCCTGAACTCATTTTTTCCTACTGAATTTATAATTCATTTTTTTGTCCGACTCCTATCTCTTCTCCACTTTAAAAATGAATAGAAAACTATGTATTAGATAAAACGTATCCCAATACATAATGTGAATGAGAAGTTTGTGCATTGTTTAGGTAAAACATACTTGAAAAAACATGTAAAATGCATACAAAATGTGTATATTTAGAGAAATATGTAGAAACATTTGTACATATTTAATCTTTTAAATTTTAATCTTTTTATAATATTATAAATTAAATGGTAGTACAACTATATAATGATATAAAATACAATGTACTGTACTTTGAAAAAAGTCTATTTTGTTTAAAAAAAACTATGTATTGTGGGGAAAATAGCAAAGATAAAAAGAAAAAAATATTTATACAAAATTATACTATGCCAAATTACTAAGGGGAGATAAAGAAAAAGAAGAAAAAATCCTTAGAAAACAAAACCCTTTTAAAAACAAATGAAATAAACAAAACTAGAAACTCAAAAAAATGCATATGTAAATTATATGTGATCATACACATATACACTGTTTAAAAAAGATAATAGAAAAAGAATGGAATGAAATGGCATGGCATGGAATAGATTAAAATAGAATAGAATAGGTCCAGCCATTAACATCATTTAGCTTTTTCCAACTTCAGCAATATGATCCAATTTTTAAAAAATTATGATTTTTTCAAATTTGCTAAAAAGTAAAATGTTATAGGTTTGCTAATCCAAAGACTGATCCCCTGTCTTCAAACATTTATTTATGCTCTGGCAGCCATTTCATACCAGCTGAATGCTTCCTGTCTTCTCTATTTTAGAATAGAATAGAGCTGGAAGGGACCTTAGAGATCTTCTAGTCCAGCCCCCTGCTCAAGCAAGAGAACGTATACTATTTCAGACAAGTGACTGCCTAGTCTCTTCTTAAAAACCTCCAGTGATGGAGTGCCCACAATTTCTGAAGGCAAGCTGTTCCACTGGTTAATTGTCCTCATTGTTAGGAAGTTTCTCCTTAATTCCAGGTTGTTTCTCTCTTTGGTCAGTTTCCAACCATTGTTTCTTGTCTTGCCCTCTGGTGCTTTGGAGAATAGTTTGACACCCTCTTCTTTGTGGCAGCCCCTCAAATACTGGAATACTGCTATCATGTCGCCCCTGTTTCTTCTTTTCTTTAGGCGAACCAAACCCAAGTCCTTCATATGTTTTAGTCTGCAGGCCTTTGATCATTTTAGTTGCTCTTCTCTGAACTTTTTCCAAGGTCTTAAGATCTTTTTTGTAATATAGTGACCAAAACTGGTTGCAGTATTCCAGGTGTGGTCTTACTAGGATTTTATAAAGCGGTACTAATACTTCACGTAATCTTGATTCTATGCCTCTGTTTATACAACCCTGGATTGTATTAGCTTTTTTGGCTGTGCTGCACACTGCCGGCTCATAGTCAAATGATTGTCCACTAGGACTCCAAGGTCCCTCTCATAGTTACTGTTTTTGAGCCAGGTCTCGCCCAATCTGTAGTTGTACCTTTGATTTTTCCTGCCTAAATGTGAAACTTTGCTTTTCTCCACATTAAAATTTATTTTGTTGGATAGGGCCCATTGTTCAAGCTTGTCAAGATCTTTTTGGATCCTGAGCTTGTCTTCTGTGGTATTGGCTATTCCTACCAGTTTAGTGTCATCTGCAAATTTGAATATAATAGATTTTGAGTCTAAAGTTTGATTCCGACATTAATTTTCAGTGGCTCCTTTCTCCAGCAACAATTGTGGTAGGAAACACAACACTAACCCATCATATCATGCCCTCTGCTAGTGGAGATTCTGGTTCATACTTTTGGCAATAACTATTAGCAGCTTAATCTAACCACACTCAACAAGCACATGTGCCTTGCTGGACAAGTTCACTTAAACATTCATGACTCAAGACCATCTGGAAGGCTGAAGATCAGCACTTACACTTTGAATTGTATCCCAAAACCAACTACAGACCTCTAAAATATGTTTAATGAAATCCCTTAAACACATGTCCAAGTACTTATTTTGAAAGGTTTTATTCTATTAGTTAGTTGCAATCAACCTAACAACCTCTTCTTAATTGTATTTCAGCACTTCTGGATGCAACCTGGAGGTCAACTTGCCAATCAGAAATTGAGGTGCTGAATCAACTGGAAAAAAAACCATATGATAAAATTAAAGGTACAACCCTGAACTAAAATTATGAAAACGTTCAGGCACACATTGAGAACGAAATGCACAATTGGTCCTGAAAGGAAATAACATGCCTAGCTCTGACCAGGGGTACATCATTGATTTGAGGAGATTCAGATCACAACCAAGGTATATAACCTTCCCTGTAGGTATTTGAATTCTTTCATGTATTTAATTGAATGTTCGTTCTTTATATTTGCAGCATTAATTTTAAAAAATAGCATATCGGTTTCACCCCAGAAGTGTTGCTAAAAGACCATGTAATTTAAAACTCTAAAAATTTAAGATTTTCTTTTCTAATTAATATCAGCCCGGGAAAAACCTAACCAGCCATCTTATAAGATGCCTGACTTTAGGTTTTCTGTATGAGGGGACAACACTGAAAGCAATTACAATAGGGTTGAACCTTACCTGGGGGGTTCTGGAGGAACTTGGACTGCTGGCAGCTGAAGACACCATGCTCACATTGGGGTTCATACTCCTCTCTCTCTCATCCTGATATATACGATCTCGCTCTGCCTCAGGTAGGTTGAGGAAATTCTGCATTGCCCTCAGATTTACCAGGAGGGACTGGGAAGCTGTTCTAGGGTCTTCTTCTTTACGCAGTATCTCTGATAGCAATCCCTGGTTCAAAAAATTAAAAAAAAGTCCAAGTCTTTTTAAAAAATATGTTAGTTATAATTGGCCAGGTTGCAGAGCTGAGACTCTTCGTCAGATGTCAAAGCATATGGAATGTTTTCTAGAAACAAACTTTGTTTTCTAGAGACCATGGCTGATTTTAGAGCAATTGTATTTAAATTCTACTTTTCACTTAAGGACAACCCAAATACAAATGCGCCAAAGAGGCAAGTGGGTAGTAAGACACCACTATAACACTACAATTATAGCCAGGTGCCTAAAAACTATTAGCACTCTCGCTTTTTCTGCTTGAGGTTGCAAACATTTGGCAGTTCTATTCAACTTCAGGAATCTGCCAAGTTTGGTAAATTTAGTTCAGACATTTAAACAGCTCAGAAGGCTTATGAAGAAAAATGTTTGGCAAGGTTTGGATGTTACAGTTCATTCACGGCAAACTGTCAATTCTTTCTAATGGGGAAAATGCTGCAAATATGAGAAATTCTTAAGATAATTCATCTTTAAAATGAATTTGGAAATTGCTTGCTGTCTCATTTAAAAAGTCAGGAGGTGGCAATGGTCCGATTCATCAAATACATCTCGATTGTTTGGATCTTTTACATGAAAGAAGTCAGCAGTTCAACTGTACTATAGCCTGCATAAAGCCTTAGAAACCAAGAAAAGTCATGGAATATAAAAAGGTATGGAGCACATAGGACATAAATGTTATTGATTACTCTGACACCAATTTTAGCAAAGCAAAGACTTTAGTCTTTGCATAACAGAATCTCTAATCATTTGCTGTACTTTTGTGTTCCTTTGTCCTAGAGAACTCCAAGTAAAAATTCCTTCTTATAGCAGAAATCATAATTAGAAAATAACTCCTAATTGTGCTGCAAATAAATGGTACAAATGCCAGCTAAATGTTACACTGTCCATCCTCCTCCTCCTTCCTTCTATCTGCACTCTGCATAGAACTTCAACATACTGCCTACTCCTCTGAAATACCATTCTCAGAAGGGAAAATCATTTGCTGCATTGTTTCTAGGCAGGAAAGCTTAATACAGTTTATAGCAAATTAATGTGCTCCAAGTTTATTTCAATATATAAAATTTCACTGGTTCAAGATGTATGGGGGAAATGCTCACAATTACTTAATATGATAAATTTATACATACACAAAAAAAGTGAAACTGATAGTCTTTGAAGAAGCAGACTAGTATCACAAATAAATGACTACTAAAAAAAATTGTTGGATCAATCACTCTCCCTTAGCTTAATCAACTTTCCAGGGTTATGGTTGAGAGGAAAAATAGGAAGGAACAGTATGTAAGCCGCCTTTAGCTTCTGTATAAAAGAAGGGATATAATTCTTAACAAATATGCTAAGATATATAGCAAATCAATGAAAAATATGAAATAATTATTTCAGGCACAGATGCTTATTACTGTATATGTTAAAAATATTTGTTCACATCAATTACATGCTTCTGTTTTATTCATTGATAAAATGAATAACTGCTGACTACTGATTAGCCTTCTAAATCTGCTTCATGGCCCTTTTTAAATGCATAAAAAAGACAATATTTTAAAGTACAACCAAGCATAAGCAGAGTAGGCAGATTGTCTTGGATAACAGAAAGGACAAACCTGAAAAAGGGACAAATCTGAGAGGTTCATAAGGATAAGCCTTCAGCAAGCCTGGGGATTCTCTGGTAATAAGGAGCCTATACATTGGTTGTCTTATATGTAATAGCTAGCCCCTTGTGGTTTTGTTTTATTATCCTTATTGTTTTTAATGGGTTTGCAAAATGTATTAATTCCTCATTTCCATGTATAGAGTCACTCCATGTGAGAAGGGTGGCTATATGAATTTGACATAAATAAATAAAGACCAATAAATAAAGACCAATAAAATGAATAATTAAATTTAATAACAGCTTTCTGAAACAAAGGATTATACTTTAGAGCAGAGGTCTACAGTTTTTCTGTGGACCAGAGGGGGAATGGTTTTGTGTGCTGCCTACATCCTGCGGATGGGGCTTTCCTTGTTTGTGCGGACCAGTTACTGGCATGCCCGGTAAAGGACATAAGGCCACTGTTAAGTATAAGGTACAAAAATGTAGTGACTAGACAATATCCTTCTTTTGTAGTTCGATCTTTCAAAAGTAAAAAATAATAGTCAATTAACCGACTACTAACTCAGACTTTTTACTTTGGTTGGAATTAGCACACTTCCTATTATGGGGACCGTAGGCAAACATTCTAATCTTCTGCAAAACTATTACCTTGCTCAGAGGTAAAGTCAGTAATCTATGTATTGTAACACTGCCCAAGGTACTACCTATGGCATCTGGCATTCATAAATCTGAAAGTTTACTTTACAATCTTTCTTTTACAAGACCTAACTTGGACAACCACTACAAAGATTGCCAAGTTTCGTATAATAGTTATGGCCTGAAAAAGTTGGATGATATTCCTTTTCTTATAGTTTCAGAAGACTGTTTTCCCTTTTTATGTTTTATGTATGTTAAATTCTATATTCGTGTTTTTGAAAGGGGGTTCCATCCTAATGTTTTTGCATAAGTGGAGGGTTCACTTGTTTTCAAATCAACCAAATGTTGATCCATTAGTTATGAGAGAGATTGACTAACCAGTTTGTCATTGGAATCTGATGACATGGGCTGAGAGAGTGACTAACTCAAAGTCGCCCGCTTTCAGCTTAAGGGGAGAGTAGAACTCAGAATCTCCTGGTTTCGAGCCTGATACCTTAATTTCCAGATTCCTCACGGGTGTCAAACTCACTGCATCATATGACGTGTCATGACGTTTTGTGACTTTTTTCGCATTGCCGGAGCTGGGGTGGGCGCGGCCTCCGCATGATGCAACTGGCCCACGGGCCGGCAGTTTGACACCCCTAAGATACCACAACTATTAACCTAATTTCTCCTTTATTTTTGTCTATTTAATACAATTGTATATATTTTAGCTTTATTTGATAATATTTATTGAGCTTGGGATGAACTTTTAAACTCAAAGGATAGCTTTTTAAACAATTGTGCTTTTTTTCAGACACTCATCGCTTGAAATGAGCAGCAAACAAAATTAATAAATAATAAATAAAATAATAATCATGAAGTTATAAAACTATTTCTTCTCAGACTTTATTGTTTGTAAACAAAAGCTGGTAAACTAGTAGCCTTCAGAATCAATAGACTTGATTCAATAGGGCTAGATACTACTATTTTAATGCCTAAAAAGCAAAGTAATAGCTTAATTAAGCAGTTGCATATAGAACTCCTTTTCCAGAGCTTGGTGTCTCCTGGTGGCGTGTTTATCTGCTCCCTTGGATGATTTTTTTGTAGATTTTGGCTTGGTATTTTGTGCAGCCCTTTCAGATCCGTCCGGATGAGGTGGCATAGGACTCATGCCAGCCAATGAAGGGGACACGACCTCCTTCCCAAGGGGCTCCATACTCTCCATCCTCTGATAGCGCAGGGGCTCTAGTGGGATCCCCCGGTACCTAGAGGGAATTACCACCTTGGGTGCGACCAGACGCAATTCCAGAGGACGCCTGGGACCCAGGTACAGCTGCAATCACAGGCAGCGACAGACACGCTATGGGAATGCCTGGTGCCCGTGGAAAACGTGTCACAGAGAAGGACCGGTGCTCTGAGGGGTCACCGTAAGTCCCTGAATCACTGACAGTAT